GTAGTCCAGTCAGACTCAATTTGGAGCTGAAAACGATGTTCTCCTCTGACCTTAGCTTCTCCGTACTGTGAGGTCATCTCATCTTCTTTCAATCCAAGCTAGCCACCATTCACCTAAATCACGTTAGCAGAGAACTCAGTTACTGTGTAGCCAAATATAGACTAATTCAGAATCTCTCTTAAGACTGAAATTTAATTTTAAACTGACATCAGTTCATTTACAAGCACACAGTGCCACTCCTGTTCCATCTGTATGGCAGGATGTGCTTTAAATGGGTCATGAATTCAGAAATAAAACTGTACTTGACATGTAAGAAGTCATTGTACCTCCATTAAGTTTCAGAACTCATTCTTTTTTTGTTAGTCCAAAAATAGCTTTTATTGAAACCAAGCAAAACGACTCGAATTTTGGTACAGGACACTTCTGTCCTGATTACTTCAAGGGGAAGGTCTATGGGCGGGGTTCTTTACTTCTATCAAGTTTAGATGCCGCCTGACAAGCATACTTCCCAAAAACATGTCCCACCATGAATACGCATTAGGTCAGTCAGCGGAGAGTAGGCGGTCTTTAGTGGCTGTTCGAACCTATTCAACCAAATGAACGTTTCCATTACGAAAGCATTCCGGTCTAATGTGTTTCGATGAAGTCACGAAAGTGGACAAGTATTATTACACCTGTATTTAATTAGTGTCGTCCACTTGTGAACCGATCCACCAAAACACATCTTAAAACCAGGTGGAACCTGGAACCAAGGCCTTTGTTTTAGTTTCCCGCTTCTCATTTGTTGTCATAAACATTCATTTATCATCACAATTGTAAATCATTAGTTCCCTCATTTGCCCTGTATTTAAGTCTCACTCTTCAGTAGTCGGTTGTTGTTTATTACCATTAAATAAACTTCATTGTTATTTTTTTAATCCAGTCGTCAGTCTTCTTCAGTCTACGTGACATACATAAGTGCACCTTAGGAAACATTATAATATAATTTAAAAAAAAAAAGCAGTTCATGACCCCTTTAACTACAAAAATTGTGTGCCAGAAATGCAGAGAAACATTCTTGCATTTACAGCAAAAAGAGTTTAATAATTCATAACCAAATCCTAAATTAAATGATTAATTACAAAGATTACTGTCAACTCTGCTCCTATTAACGCTTTAAAATGGTATTAAGGCAGATAATCCTAGGATCCCGTTTGCTGGGCACAAACGCCTACTCGCACACCTAAAGAAGAATTGCAGAAAGAGGAGAGTGGGAGAAAAATGTCCCTATAGCTCTCCAAGTGTGAGGTGAAGATGTTTAAAAGATCCTACTGTTGTGTTTTTCAGTAATAAAATAGGGAAATAGGAGAGCTGCTGCCGCCTGCTTCTCTCTAATAGTTTTAGCAGAGACAGATCATAGAGTTTATGGTTCCAGGAATGGGTGTCATTACGTATGGATCTACCACTACTGATGGAAACCAATATTTATGGAAAGGTTCATGCTGATGCTCCAGAGTGTTTGAGAAAGAACAGGGAGAGAGTATACAATTCTAATTTACTCAAACTAATAGCAATCAAATGCCCATGTAATCAATTTCATGCATGTGGTTCTAGTTTTCATTGTGTAATAAAGACACACATACAAATAGTCTCAGACCTGAATTCTTCCATTTCCCAATTTTCACTCCCAGCATCAAGACACCCCAACAATATCATGGCCATAAATACAACCAGATCAGCACAATCTCTGACAAACGTCAAGTTTATAACTCATCCTGCACAGCCAAGCCCCCAAAAATGCTAAATTTGGTGATGTGAGATTCCTGACCTCAGGCCAGTAAGAGTAAAGTGAGGGTTTAAGTTTTTTCCGTGAGCATTAAGAAAAGAACGGTGACATCACAGCAGGAGATAAATCAAAAACCAATGAAAAACAGTGCAAATGGGGTTATCAAAGCAAAGTTTTTTTCAATGTACAGGAAAAAAAAAAATCCATCACAACCCATTTCCAACTCTGGTGATAGAAATACAAGTCTGAACAATGATAATATATGAAGAAACCCAATCTCTGATCCCTTTTAAAGCTGGCAAGACCCAGACACAAAGACCAGAATATGTGATTCTAAAGTGGTGTTCATTTTTGCAAGGTCCAGTTAGCCGTTTCACCCCTCATTAGTAACTCTAAACTGACAAGTTTTAAACACAGACAGGCCTATTGCAGTAAATGGAGGTCTTTCCAGACACCCATATTGTGTTAGTGCTGACTGAATTGCAGCCAGGCCCTCTGCTCTAGAACAGCAGACGAGAGAGAAATGACATCGACCAGCATAGCTCTATCGTTCCACTGAGGTCGAGTATTGGTGCCAGGCTCAATTAAGCCTTGCTGAGGTAGAGAACTAAAACAATGGGAATTGTGGGTGTACACAGAGGTCCATTCAGATAACCGAACTTTGGTGTGTGTGCGCGCTTGAGCTAGCTAAAAACACAACAACAGGGCAGGATTTTCCACCAGTTTACTGAGCTAATGCTATTGGCTGGCACAGCGCTTCCGATAGGGAAAAGAACTGTGTCAGAAGCTTTCTCAGATTCTTTTCATCCATGAGGTGCTTTGGGAAAAATCAGCGACAAAAGGAAACGGAGATTTAGAGACACTGACCCATCAGTGACAGGGAAGAGAGATAAGGATGATCAATGTGATTTGGTACTACGACTACGTGGCAAATGACTGGCATAAGCAATGCAGGGTTGGAAATGACTATAGCCACTCTGGACAATGGACTCGAGGAGGAAAAGGAAGTTAGATTACGCCTGGGTGTGAACAACACCAAATGAGAAATTGAGATCATGTGATTATAGTCACACTTTAATAATTGATGCATTTCAGTTGAGAACACATTGAAATAACGCACAAGTGTCAAATCACAGCCTGGACAGAGTACAATAATATCTGGAGTATTTTATAGATATCAAAGGCTTCAAAATAGTAAATTGCACCTAACCAGCAAAATCCTCTAAAGAGGTTTTAAATAGCACAGGTTTTGACCGAAATTCCACTAAGACGGCAAAGCCAAGACCATTTTCATTTCATGTTGTTTTTCCTGCAAATCCCCCCAGTGTTTTTCAAACCCTCAAGCCACCTTTCCTAAATTCTTTCAGGCTCAGGAGAAAAACCCAGAGCCAAGAATAAGTTGAGGGAGCAAGAGAAAGACACTCAAAAGCAAGCATAGTCTATAGGGTAGTATTGAGAACAATGGAGAATAGGACTAAAACACATATCTACTAGTGCCAGGGTCATAACAATCATCATTTCAGGAAATAATCATCATACTCGAAAGGGGTTTGTTTAGTTTGGCAGCAGGGCGAAGAAAAAAAAATATATAGCGCAACCTGACAAGTATTACACCCAGCGGAAGCCTCGACCTGTCTGCTGCCACAGAGGCCGAGCAACAACACAGGAGGTTGAGTTCCCTGGCCGAACCGACATAATGGTTTATATTGGTTAGACTTCAAATGACAAATTAGATCTGATTATAAGCACATCGTTTAAAAGTTTGGGGCCAGTAAGACCTTTTTTGGACAATTTTGGTATATCAAACAGTTGAAGGTAGCTATTGACTTCCACTGTAGGGAAAAAATACTATGGAAGTCAATAGCTAAACATTCTTTAAAATATCTTTTGTTATCAACTGACGAAACAAACAACTTGAGGGTGAGTAAGTGATGACAATTTTCATTTTTTGATTAACTATTCTTTTAACCTAACATTGTGTGAATAAAGATAGAGACAAGAGAGCAGATAACCAATTGCAAACAAGTCAGGATATTGCTTGAGTGATTATTACTTCCTCTATCAATCCCTCCTTCACCTGTCTTAGGGAACCCATGACCGTCCTCATGTTCTCCAGTCACTGAAGTTCAAAAACATTCAGATGGTTTAAAGCCTGTGTTCTCTGGCTCTTAGTGAAGTGGTAAGGTTACGAGAAAGGGATCGATCTTTGACCTGTGACCTCATCAAGTCAAGTGTTAAAACAGTCAGGAACATTACAGGAACTAACCATTATTCCCAAGAGACTTTACAGTCTTTCATCCTGTCCCACTATTTTGCTTCCCTTAGTAGTACTTGTCCTGTGATACACTCTCAAAACGTATTTCCTCTCAATTTGCCAACATTCTCTAACAATCTACTCACTATCTGTTTCCTGCCCTCAACAACAAAGTTCTGTAGTTCTTCACCTTTCCCATGTCTTCTTCCATCCATCTTCTCACACTACCTTCTTACATTGAGATATAGTCTCAATGACAAGAAGTCGCAATTTAGAGACATAAGGTTACGTTTAGAGCCCGACCGATAAAGGATTTTGAAGGCCGATACAAATATTTTTGGGTTTTAAAATCCGATAGGAGAGATGATTGAAGTGTGTTTCGTCTGTTTTTATTTTATTTTTTAAATATTCATTTATCGGCCATTATAACTGCCGATACCGATGTTTTGGAAAATGCCTAATATCGGCCGATAATATTGGTTGGCCGATATATCGGTCTGGCTCTAGTGACATTGGAGTCACAATTACGGGAAATAAATTCCCATCCACGAGAAATAAAGTCCAAATCACAAGAAATAAAGTTAAAATTATGAGAAAAAAAATGCAATTTTGAGAAATAAGGCCATATTGCAATATGTCAAGTCTCATTGTGAAGTATAAAGTTACAACTATGGAAAATAAAGACAATTCACCAATCAAGTGAAATAAAGAAGAAATTCAAATATGTAAAGTTGCAATAATGAGAAATAAAGTTACAAAAAGTCGCAATTGTGAGATATACAGATATACATTGTGATATCAAGTCGCATTGTATGTTATTAAGATACAATTATAAGAAATTAAGTCTTAATTCAGAGATAATAATTCTGAAATAAAGCCACAAAAACTCTTTACTCTGTGGCAGAAAATGGGATCCTATAGTTTAACAAGCACTAATTTTGTTTCCAATAAAGACGCCGAAGAACAAACAAACAGTAATGGTCTGATTGTAATTCCTTTGTTTTAATATCTTATAAAATATTATGTACACTAGTTGACAGTGAATGTTTATTCTTTCTGTACCTCTCACAACACTTTGGTACTGATGTGACCTTTGCTTTTACATAAAGTCGTTAGACCGTTGTATTGGTATTGCAATGCAGAGAAGATGGAGTCTGTGTGTGATCTAACAATCACAACTGTTCCATGCAAGCCGTTTAGTGTTGAGAGGTTCTGTTCCACGTCTGTGGAAACTGTAATGATTGCTGTTATCAGATCAACACAACAACCATTAAGCTCCATTTTTCTAGGAGTCGAAGACCACAGTGGACCTCTTCTTCCTAAGTTATATGTTGGGATCTACAAAGTTTCTTTTTTATGTGAAATACTTTAGTGGAACGGAAATTGAGCTTAGTTTTTAACATTTCTTAAAAGACTTACAGCTTCTGACTGTAGAAATACATAAACTTCACATCTTTTTTTTTTCCAATCTTTGGGTACGTTGGTCATTCGCATTTGCTCTTCAGGAGACTTTTCTCTTATTGTCGTGGGTGAGAGATTTATTGACCACATCACCTACTAGGACCTGCAATTCCCTTCTTTGCCACAGTTTCACCACCTTTAATCTTCAGAGAGTCTAACAGGTTCTTTATTCTTGAACTAGTTGGTTCCAGTTTTCTCCTCTTGCGACTTTTCACCCCTGCTCCTGAGGTGACTGAAGGAAGGAGAAGCGCAGAGAACCCCCACGGCGAAACTGACTCAGACGATTGGCTAGAACTTCGGTTAAGAAATTCGCTTTTCTGAAAAAGCCAAGCACTTTCTTGACAAAGTTTCACGAAGCGTTCAAGCTGCGTTGCATTGACGTTTTTGCTAACGTTTAGAGTGGTTTCAAATGGATTCTGGATGTGCAAAGCTGTTATTTCCGGTTTGGTCTGCTCCTTTCCCTGGTGAAAGGGATATAAAGCAGGATTTTTAAGCCTTCAGACACTTAAACACACACAGTGCATACACAGACATTTGCTACATAAAAAACAAACCTATTCAATTAGAAAAAAAAACAAAAAAAAAAACAGAAACATTTTCACTAATGGTCACAGACTTTTGGACCCCACATCTAATTGTGTCCACTGCAGTACCAGACACGTTATTTTGACTATATATACACTGCCCTCTGGTGGCCGTTTGTGGATGGTCCGCTAAGACGTCATCAGTGTCCTTTGGGAGTTTGCGCATGCATGCACGTGTCATCGGTGGATGACTCACCTTCCTAATATTGATCGATGCCTTGTTGAAGGGAAAATTGCCATAAAACTCGAAGAATTCCTGCAATAGTTTTGCTGTGCAAGAAAAAATTAAAACAACAGAAAAATAAAAAAAGCATTAATTTTTCAATGTGATTATCGATCAGTACAAATTGAATGCATTGCAAAAGCATTACAGAAATGCTTTAAAAGAAAAGGTTAAATCTTATACAATATATGCACTCACCTGATGTGTCTGTGTTCTTCTGCAGTGTAATCTTGCTGAGGTCACTGACAATAGTGCAGTCATTACCCTCAATGACACACTTATCCGATGGTCCTGGAAAATACACACACAAAACATAAAAATAACGCGAGTGGCCTTCCATATAGAAACTGACTGTATTAAATTTTGTGGCATCGATGTTCTTGACCCTGGAAGACAGGAAACAATAATTGTGTGTGTGTAGAAAGTCGACTCAGGGGAGAGCCATATAGTATGATGTATAGAGACTTTTCTGGGGTCACAGACAATGACACAGCAGTCTCATATAAGATTTGGTCTTTCGAGAGAGAGAGAGAGAGAGAGAGAGAGAGAGACAGAGACAGAGACAGAGAGAATATAAAGGGGAAAATTGCCCCACTTCAAATGTTCTTTAATTATATTTCAAGAAGGATATATCATAGGGACATAATATGCATCTTTTAAAAATAAAAAGTGGTCCAGTTATTCAAAATATTCATTTTTAAATTAAAAAAAAAAAAAAGAAAAGAAAAAATGCTCAATTTTATGATACAATTTTATGTATGCAGCATATACTTGTTGAATAGATGTATAAATTACATAAAAAACTTTTTTTTTTCTTTTTAAATCTTAACCACCCCAAACTTTTAAAGTGTATGGTCACATGATAAAATGTATACACAGTTTACTAGAATATCGTGGCACCACAGTTTACCCACTAACACATCTTTCCCCACTGTCCTCTATAAATGTAAAACACCAACACTGGAGCAAGAATTGCTCGAACGTTTTTGATAGAGTTCTGATTGTTTCACACTCAGTTTTCTCATGTGTCACAGGGCAGATTATCATTCTAAAGAGACCCAATTTCAGTCATGGCTCAAAATTGACCAAATGTGTAGGTACTGTTCTCGCCTCTATGTGGCAGTATAGTACAAAAAGATAACTGTAAAAAATCATGTCTGTCAAAGTACAATTTGTATACCTGCCAGTTCCGTCAGTCGGTCCAGTGTGGGCAGTATGGGAGGACTCCTCTGCTGTAGAAAGAACACTACCATGACCGTTAAAGAGAAGTTGGTGATCCAGGCTCCAGGAATACTGCTCGTGATGCTATGAGCCCGAGCCCAGTACCGAATACTGAACACCAGGTGCCGAACACGAGGGTCCAGGTGCCCATAGAGAAACAACAGTTCTGAACTCTTCATCGCCACCCTGCACACAACAGAGCATTCAAGTAAACAGAATACACATAATTTGATAACTATGTCATGGCGATTTAAAAAAGGGCAAAACCCCCCCCAAAAGGTTAGCATGTGGGGAAACAGAGCTTACAGTTTTATCTGCATGTAAATTTTTGGATCAAAAACAGAAAAGAAAAGACTTTTCTTTTTCCCCATCACAACAGAAAAGAAAAGACTATCGCAACTTAATAAGAATATCGCAAATAAATAAATAAACTTGTTTAATGTTTAATTTAAGGTGGAGTTTAGGGAAACCAAAAATTATATAAATGTTCAAAATCATATTTTGCAGTTCTTTTAGCTTTATATAATATAGCTTTTATAATATTAAACAAAAATAAACAAAAACCTTTAATAATAATAGCAATAAATGCATTTCATGTTCACAAGTCAATCTGTACACAATAGATTGCTCATAAATCATTCAAGGACAAATACATATGGGTGTACAATATAAACATCTGGGAATACCCCTCACTAACCCACAGGGGACACGGTACAACAAAAAAAAGCTGAGCAGGTTTCTGCGCATTACTGGTGTGTCACCTTCTAAAAGGAAGCGTCAGAGTGGTGACATTTGTTTTGGGGAAATGTGAATAGGAGTGAGAAAAATAATCACAGAACTTCATGTCAACATAGCATGGCATGACATTAAGCAGACAGCACGACAACACAATATAAAATTACCTATTATTGGCAGTGAGATCACACTGAAAGCCAGAGGGTTGGTGAGAAAAGCGGACCAGAGGACATCGAGCTTGGAGAATGTTCTGGACTCCCACACATCCAGGGCCGAACTGGTCAACGCATTTCCCAATGACTGAGAGGATGCTCTGGGTCACAGCCCGCTCTGAGGCCCCTCTCTTCACCTGGTACTCTAAGGACAGTCCTGAGCCCTGTTTAAAACATGACGGCATAATAAATCAACTAAGAAAAATATCATCGCTATTGCTCTAAACTTAATTAACCGTAGAAATTCAATGCATATTTTTTATTGAAGAATGTAAAGCTTAAAGGAATGGTATGGAACCCTGTTTCTGCCACTGAATTAAAAAAAATAATTGACAATTCTGAGAAAAAAAGTCTAAATTGTGAGATGTAAACTCGTAATAGTTTAATTGAAACAAGTAACAATTGCCTGTTTTTATTCTGTGGCAGAAACAAGATTCCATAGAATGGAAAAATTCAACTAAAAATAAATTCATTATTTATTCATAAATAAATTCATTATTTATTTAATATGTCTTCAGCCTAAACCCCTTCGGTCAGGTATTATTGAGCATTTAAATTCCTAAGGTACTCATTTTGTATTTATCTTTATAATGTATTTAAATTTTCTTTTCCTTCTCTATTTGTTTCATTGTTTTATGTTTTTTCATAATGTATTTAAATTTTCTTTTCCTTCTCTATTTGTTTCATTGTTTTATGTTTTTTCATTGTATTATGTACAGGATTTTTGAACATATGACCTAAGATATAATTGTTCAAAATGACAGAAGAAAATAAATAACTAGCTAATCAAATTTACACTTAATGAAAGCTCATAAAATGGGGTCTTTCAAATATCTACTTTTTGTTCCATGGAATAATAAAAAATAAATAAATAAACTTTTATATAAATAATTAAGTCAACAAAAAAAGCATTAACAGAAATTTCCACTCGAATGCTTTAAGTATCTTCTATTTTTAAAACCAATACTTAAATATTAAAAGAGTAAAAGGACAAAAATGTAATGGGGTTTTTTTTTTGCATTCAGTGGAAATCAAAGGTAAACTAGCTGTTGGTAAATTAATTTTAAAAACTAATATAAAACGATTTCGATCTGGTAACCAAAATTATTCAAATTATTGGATATACCGGTTTGGAACGACATGAGGGTGAGTAAATTATGACGGGGGCGGCAGTGGCTCAGTGGTTCATGTGGGTTGTCTACGAACCGAAAGGTTGGTGGTTCAATCCTCGGTTCCACCTGGCCAAGTGTCGAGGTGTCCATGAGCAAGACACCTAACCCCAGCTGCTCCCGACGAGCTGGCTGGCGCCTTGCATGGCTGACACCGCCGTCGGTGTGTGAATGAGCGTATGAATGGGTGAATGTGAGGCAATATGTAAAGCGCTTTGGTGGCCATTAGGTCTATGAAGGCGCTATATAAATGCAGTCCATTTACCATTTACCATTTACAGTATTTTCAATGCTAGATGACCTTTTCCTTTTCAATTCAATCTATTTAACCGAAGCCCACATCACTGACCTTTGTCTGGCTTGTTGCATAGATGCCATCGAGGTCCAGAATCATGTCGACATCACAGCCCAGTTTGCCGAAGCCGTTGACAGTGGAACCGAAAGGCCTGATGATGCATTCTGGGAAATATGCTCTAGCAATGTCTCCAAGCAGAGAACAAACGAGGAAGCGCAGGCTTATGTTCTCTTCTGTGAGCTGTAAGGCCTCTGTCAGACACTGCAGTTGCTCATCTATCTGTGGAACGAAGAAATGAAGAGTAGATGCTTATTTGTCCTCAGATTTGAAGCACCAACAAGAGGACATAACACACACACACACAAAGTAAATGCTGTAAACACAAAAGTATATGCTTAAGACTTACACTGTCCTTTTCCGAGAGCAGTTGGGTGATGTCACCAATGGTTGGAGGGGATTGCTCTTGGAACGTTGGCATGGGTTGGTTTTTCAATTGACCGCCTGGCCATTTCAATGACAGCAAACGAGATTTGAAAGGTACTGCAGCTTCATGTTCAACAGCTGGTAAGTTGGTGCTCTCCTTCAATGAGGCGATGCTCTCTTCACTGGAGAATTCAACAACTGCATATGTTCCCTACAGACACAGAATCAGATCATAAACAGTTCAGTCAAAGTGTCATTAAGTGTCTAGATCTAGATATAATATTACTTGTAGTTTTGCCACACTTACGTAGCCACTGTAGAAGAAATGCTTGTTTATTGTCCCGTGTTTAGACAGGTAATCTAAAAACTTATTTTCATTGAACTTAGGCGGACAGCTGATCAAGACCGATCTTTCAGCTTGTTCTCTTCTCTCCTCCTGGATTGCTTGAAATGTTTTATTCTCCTTGGGTTTCGTGACTAAAATGAAAGTGAAGCAAGAGGAAAGAAGCACTGAATCAGTGTGTTATGATCAATCACATTCTATTGTAATTTCTATCACGATTTTTACCACGAGAAGACAATATGGTATTTCTGTTTAACATAAAATGACAGATGAAGGCATGAATGCGTTTTACATCTGCATTACATAGCGCATTTAGGCATTAACTTAGAGATTATTGAGAAACAGTGTTACCGGTGTTGTTTACTGCCTGGGCTTTGATTGCTGATATAGTTGAAGTGAGTCTTCTATGAGTTTGAGTTTCCAATCCCAGATAAAAATTATGAAACCTCCCCAAACTCCTGAAATGTAACCTACACACGCCAAAGGAGGCCGCCATTGTTGATTTGAGGCGGGCGCATGCGTAGACACTGCCTCTACGGTGGCTATGAGTGGACATGCAGTCCTGCGTTTTGAGTTTGGAAAAAACCGAAATATCCCAGCCAGGAGACTGACAAATTTTGTAAATACCGACTTATTATTGGAGATTTTTGTTCATTCCTGTGTTTTTGATGATTAAATATTTCGAATTTAATCATCAAAAGATTTCTGCAAGTTTACAAATTACAAACACTAAAGATTCGTTTAGCTTCTACAAGTTTACAAATTTTGATAGGGACAACTTCAGCAAAGGAAAAAAAAAGATAATAAAAAAACACTTCAAATAGTTGTACTATATATATATATATATACATACATAAATATCAACAACATCTTGGTTATACAGTTTAATTGCCATAGTAATGTTGTTTCTACCATATATCAATACAATTTTCATAATTTCATATATTACAGAGAGCTTAAAGGTGCACTGTGTAGATTTTAGCGGCACCAAGCAGTTCGGTTGTGAGTTGCACTAATGGCACAGCCCACTGCTTACCCCTCCCTTTCGAAGAAGCTACAGTTGCTGAAACGGGAAAAACATGTCGTCTGAGACAGCAAGAGTGTGTAACATTGTCACTGTTTCTGTACCACAGACACAGTCCATTATAAACCACATCATGGATAAAGTTTACAAAGCCATAGTCAGGTGAGGATCAAGGGTCTTAATAATAATACAGTAGGGGTTCAATCTTGCCAGCCAGTTGAAGATTGAACCCCCACTCTAATAATATAAGCAATCAGCTGATTGTCTCACAAATGTAACCAGCACATTTCTCCCCACATAGCAAACCCATAATGCAGCGAGGCGAAGAACCACATAAAACTATCCAACTACGCTACATATTTTTTTCTAACAGGGTAGTAAACGTTTAGCTATGAGCTTTTAAGCTGTAGGGCTGTGGCTGAGCTGGTTAATGCATAAAGCATTGTTCATACTCTACGTGTCCGTATGAGTGCAAACGTGTGCATCCTACGCTATCTCACCAGGCATTTACTAACCACAAATTAATAAATAATAATACAAATATTGTTTTTTTCCTCTGGTTCTGAAAACTCTTTGCGAACGACTTAAAATGCTTTCAAGATCGACTTGTTAACCGAAATCGATGGGTTGGTCACTGACCCGGGTATGTTACTGTTTTACGGTCAAAAGTACTAATCAGCTGATTGTCAAAGCCATGACAATCAGCTGATTAGTACAGCGAGGGAGAAGAACTAGTTACAAGAAACAGTCCAACTATATTTTACAGTAATTTTTGAAACAGGTGTAGTGTAATATTCAGTTCCTATGAAAAACAGTTCCAGTGGCCTATAGGATATACACATGAATATTCACATATGTCCCCTGTTGTGGGCGTGGCCTTGAGACGATGCACAAACGAATGGAACTAAAATTCTATATTTATTTTAAATTAGTATATTATATTTATAGTATATATATATATATATATATATATATATATATTATTATTATTATTATTATTACTAAAATGGGCTATATTAGTGCATGTTCGTTAACTCGCTAACGTTTATTAATGGATGTTTCGAAAAGGAATGACGTTTCAATGTTAAGCATTAACTGCTAGAGTTTGTGTAATGTGATAAATCATCTGAGCTGTTTTGCCTGGTTGATTACAGGAATTCAGATAGGTATAGGACACATGATTACCTTTTCAAAATAATCCATTAAATCCATCATATGCAGCAAAATAAGGCCACGCCCACAACAGGGAACATATCATGAATATTCATGACGGTATACAGCGCCAACTAAACAGTTTGTCACAGGAACTGAATATAACACCTACCGCTACAACTGCATCCCAGACAGAGATCCGCAAAATTTGATTCGTTCTTCTTACTCAAATATTTTAAGTCAGTTAAAATAGATTCTGTTTCGTTTAGTAATTATTTTGCAAGTTTACAAGTTATCTTATTACCTTGCTACATCGTTCAAGAACGAGTGAATGTAAGTTAAACAAAACTTTAACCTAATTTATTTAAGGAGATAAATGTGTGTGTGTGTGTGTTTATTTTTTTATTATTTTTCTTCAGACGAAATTTTCTTTGCTGTCACGAGATTGTTAGAAGAAAGTAGCTACAACTCTTTTGAACAAGTGAATCGTAGAGGACATAAATGACATCCCTAATTTTCCACGGAACATTCTGATAGGGTACTGTGGCAGGATTATACGTGACCTCTCATAGTGTCAATGAGAAAATACCTCTCAGTGAAAACAAAGAGAAAACGAAACCGCAGTTGACGTATGAGCGGAGCGGAGGCGCAGCTTACACACACATTCCTCTTATCTGAGAGCGTCAGTCTGTTAGAGTTTCAGTTGGAACTATGGACCATCAGTGAGCATGAGCCCTGCTGTGAACACACTGACCGAAAGGTAGGCAAACGCCTGCTAATACTTATTATATCGTTTTGTTTTGTTTTTTGTTTGTGTTGGCTATACACAGTATGAAAATGTACAGATTAGTCAAGCAGGTTATTGGCAGTGACTCAACCTTGGCAACTGCTTAATTTCTACGATCTGTTTTTGAGCATTAGTTATTTGCTTAATATAGCCTATATATTATTATTAATGCGGTGTTTTATTAATTATTAATTCTAGCTACATGAAAGATATCTCAGGAGATGATGTTTTCAGAATGTTTCAGAATCAGCACCGTATTTTTGGGGAAATTGGGCATGTGGGGGTCTGTCAAAACAGATGGTCAACTTTATGATTTAGGTTGCTTTAACATCTAATTTGCACTTGTGAGATTGCTAAAGGACATTTTTGCAATGTAAAAGTTTTTTGGTTTTTTTTGCTGGTTTTTGTTTTGAAAAAGAACCCCCATCTTGGGGTTTCCCTCCCCTTGTAAACCACCCCTCACCTTGCAATCATGGTGATCAGGAAACTGTGAGTGCAAACAGCATGAATGTGTGCATTTAGTCACATAAATTCTTGTGCTGTTTCTAATGATCACAAATTCTGTTCTAGAATTCAAACAAGGATGGAGTACAAGAATGAAAATGCTGGAATAGAACTGCTTCTTGCTCACATGAATATTGAAGACTTCATCCAAGAGGCAGAACATTTCTACTGTGTTGACGAGGAGGTGGAATCAGGAGTCTCATTTGACGAAATTTTCTTGCAAGAAGACATGGACGAGAATGAGGAAACGCCACACGATCTAATCACACATGCGCAAAACCCCGGAAAGGTCCGTTATGGGACAGCATCTGACCTCCTGGACTTTGTCAATATGGTCTCAAACATACCATCCTCCTCTCTCCTCGAAGTGGGTCAAGAAATGGGTGTCCTGCTAAACAAGGTAAGCTCTATTGATGGTTATTTACCATATATCCATAACATATACAGATGATCTATTTTCAGCATTAAGTAAGTGGATGTATTTAAAACATATTTACACTTGAAGGGATAGTGACAACGATGATGAAATTTCTGTCATCATTTACTCACCCTCAAGTTGTTCCAAACCTGTGGTAACCAAACAGTTGATGGGATCCTATTGACTTCCAGAGTATTTTTTCCCCTCCATACCATGGAAGTCAATGGGGCTGATCAACTGTCTGGTATTCATAAACCAATTAATATAAACCAAGCTTATTGTAAATACTTCGAGTAAAGGAGTTATACTTGTTTTACAGTTTGTCATAGCCTTGCTCTCATAAACGCCCTGCTTTGTTCCTGCAGACAGACATGGTCATTAAGGAGGGTCATTATCGCATAGATTTGGACGTTCTTCTGTTTCCGTGGAAACTGACCTACAAGCCCCTAGGTCCTGGACATGTTCCCAAAGGCTCATTTGGGAAGGTCCATCTGGCTCAGGACACCAAAACTCGGAAGCGAATGGCATGCAAACTAGTAAGTTCAGGAATGCAGAAAATATTTGTTTCAGGAACTCTTTCTTTTTTCCTTCTTCTGTCATTCCACTGTTAATGGACATAACTTCCCTTCCTGGAATCTGTGTTCTTTTATGACTAAAGCAAAAACACATTTTGTACTGCTTGTTCAAAATAAGTTGTTGAAAACAATTTAATAAGCACAACATAAGGATTTCAAACATTAAGTAGTGAAGTAAACATACAATTTTCATATGAAAATAAAACATCAATGACACTACACTGTAAATATAACACTGATTCTTTATAGTGATTGATGTGTTCTTGTGACAATCTTAAGCACCAGGATTTATGAACAATGGAAAAAAAATGACTCTGAAAAGAGAAGCACTTGTAGAACTCGTATTCAAATGAGGAAGAGATCATTTGGGAAATAACGCAGTTTCTCTAAAATGTTCAGGAGGTCAGTCTACAGTGTGCAGTGTTTGAACAGAAACTGAGAATGGCTCTAACGTACACAGGAAGCTAACAGGAACGCCCCCGTGGAAACATGCAGCCCACAGAGACGGTGTCTAAACTGTGTGGCAGTGTGTAGATGTCTAGTGGAAGAAAAAGTTTCATACTTGTGGTCAATATAAAGTCGGCACGAAATGGAAGTTGCCATAGTCTATGCTTTCCTATAGTAACGCATATCCAGGTGAAACGGCTTCTCAAACAAGAAACAAAATAGGACGGGGCATGCTTTAGTCCATTTTGCTATTGCTGCCGTCTCATGAGTGAGAGAAGAGAAGAGGTCGTTGCAAGAGGGAGGGGAAGTTATTTGGATTGAAGATTATGACTTGACGGGAAAATAATGATGTGTCATGAAATAATGATTGTCAATTGCTGAATCAAAAACATTCACCCCCGTAGCCCTCAATCGGGTCATGGGGTCTAAACGACCCCAATCGAATTTTACTCCCTTCATCTCAGTGGAATAAGATTTTGTGACTTTTCATACATTATCTATCTATACACACAACAAAACTGGGCTTGAATCGGTTGTTCTGAAGGTATTTAAAAAATTTTTTACACTTCTGGTCTTCGAGTTCAATATGACCCCACATTGAAATTAATGGGAAATGTGAAAAAAACAAATACAAAATCCGCCATAAATCTGAACATGTTTACACAGAAATGAAGGCCTAGTACTAGAGCATAAATGCAATGTATCATAAAAAATAACATTTCATATGCTAATGCTAAAGCTAATGGTGTAGTTGAGGAATTGTGTGGTAAATGGATACAAAAGTACTTTATATCTCCAAAAACACAGCATTAATGAATAGATGAGAAGTAAACAAAAATAATGATATATTATTTGTATGATTAAAAATGTATATTTTTTGTACACTTACTCAATCAATTGTTGGGGTCATATAGACCCCGAAGCCCAGAAGTGTAAGCAGGAAACGAAGACCATTTGAAGGTTAATGTGGCTTTTAGGGTTTTGATCAAATAATTAGTTATCAATTAGTGGTCAAGGCAGCCGATGTCTGGAACAATTATGCAATATCACACTGCACATATCTATATTTTATGAAATTCTTTGCATATATGAAGTCTTAAATCTTTCTATGCATTTAGCCTAAGTATAATAAGCAAGTAATGGTAATTGTATATTACCAAATGTCTGAAATGTATAAGTTAAGTGTACATTCTCTCCAGATTCCTATGGAACATTTCAAGCCTGCAGATGTGGAAATCCAAGCCCGGTTCCGACACGAGAACATAGCAGAGCTGTATGGGGCATTGCTGTGGGAGCAGACGGTGCATTTGTTCATGGAAGCGGGCGAAGGGGGCTCGGTTCTGGAGAAGCTGGAAAGCTGTGGTCCAATGAGGGAGTTCGAGATCATCTGGGTCTCTCAGCAGGTTCTGCGAGGCCTGGAGTACCTGCACTCGCACAACATTATACACCACGACATCAAACGTAAGAGCTTTGGATTGCATCATAATGGATTGTTTTTCTGAAATATCACACCCGTTTCCTACTAAAACACAATGTGTTTGACCATGTTGGATCAGCTACTTTGAATTGAAACAGTGCAAAACATACTTCAAAAGCAGGGTCAAGTGCAGTTCACTTCATTTTTTTATTGCAACCACACGCAACAAAACAAACACTGTTATTTCCCTCCCGAATGTAACAAAGGATGCTCTGTAAGTAAGTCAGATAATGACTATGTGGTCACAAGAAAGGTATTCAGCTTATTTGACAGAACTGAAAACTAGGCCACTGGGAGGAAGCAGCAGTGTTAATTGATTGACAGAGGACTGGCCACAGGCTAGAGAAGTTCATTTTTAGTGTTTTTAGATCGCACCTTTCAAAGGTGAGGAAAACAACATACTGAAATATGGTAGGGTTGCGGCAGACAACATTCTGCTGCTGTTTAGTCATATGCAGAAGCCTATCAGTGCTGCAGCTCATGACTTCTCAGGCGTCTGGAATTTCCAGTCAGGACAGCGAGAGGAGGGAGAAGACAGATGTGATTACTCATGTATTACTTTCCGGGGCTTATTCAACAGGCCATCCGTCTAACTAGTGCTTTCAAATTTCAACAAGACTGTGAGGGTAATGTGAAGAGAGAGAAATTCAGTGAAATGAGTGACCAACCTCAGTTTCCTGCTTTGTGGTTCTGATGGTTGGCTTCTTGGCTTCAGAAAACATTTTATTTGAAGTAGTGTCAAATATGGAGGGAGTGCAAGAAAAGGGGGTTTTGAGACTTCAGATGATCTTTTTTTCAATCCACCATGAGTAATGAATGATAATGAATGAGTAATGAATCTGCTTCTGGAAAACAACACCTTGTCTGGTGCTGCACACACATGAACTGAATAACCTAAATGTTGCAAAAACTATGGAGATATAGTTGCAATGTCTTATATAGCATATGAAATATAAGTTTTAGATTTGATGTGTCTATACGACATGAACTAAATTCTCTTTTTGTCCCTGCAGCCAGTAATATTGTGTTGATGTCCGCCAAAGCCGTGCTGGTGGATTTTGGTCTTACAGTACAGATGAAGGATGATGTGTATGTTCCTCGGGACCTACGTGGCACCGAGGTGAGTGTGTTTGAGGTCACTTTGCACACTTTAATTTTTCCATACTTGGTCTGTCACTGTGTCGTGACTAAATGCTAGTCTATAATTAGAAACCATGCAGTATTTGGCAGTTCCTGATTGTGCTGGTGGCAGACGTCCTTTAGAATGTCACTGAATAAATGTTGTCTTATGCTATGTACATTTATAAAGTTAAAGGGATAGTTCACTTTGAAATTAATTGTTGATATGTTTTAGCTTACCTCAAGGGCATCCGAGATGTAGGTGTCTTTGTTTCCGCAGTATTTTCCATTTTGATATTTTTCGGTCAAACCGTTGTTGTCTGTCAGTCATATAATGAGGTTTAGGGGGTCCACCCTGGGTTCACCTTAAAGAGCATGCACAGAGAAGTCAAAGTTAAATATGATTTAATGACTCGTAAATGTAAGTACACTTCTCTGTGCATGCTCTTCGAGGTGGACCAAGGGTGGAGCCCCTAAACCTCCATTATATGACTGATTGACAACAACGGTTTGACCAAAAAATATCAAAATTGAAAATACTGTGGAAACAAAGACACCTACATCTTGGATGCCCTTGAGGTAAGCTAAAACATATCAAAAAATAATTTCAAAGTGAACTATCCCTTTAAAGGTACATAGTTAAAGGGCAATTCTGACAGACTGAAAGGAGATCTGAAACACTAGAAGGCACACACACACATAGATGCACTTTTTTCCCTCTTGGCTGACATTATGTTCCCTAACAAACTCTGGGAAAGGCCCAAAAAAGGCACACACACATGCCCATTAGCACACTGAGGCTTGTTGACTTTTTGCCCCATTTGGAAAGTCCAGCATGCCTTGTTAAACAGCACTGAAGATTCCCAACATAGAATAATAAAGTTGTTTACTACGAGGCAGTACCATGAGCAGTTTGCCAGATGTCACATTTGCCTATTACATCACAAGTTGTTTTTCATATTTATATTATTCAGAGTGACTGAACTGTAGAAAACAGCCAGTCCATTCCAGTGTTCAAAGTTGCATTACAAAAAGAAGAAAACCTGCTGTGAATCTTAAAAGCCTCTGCACATGTGGGATCTGTGCTCATTTTAGTCATATTTCTTGTTTTTCCTTCTGTACAGATGTACATGAGTCCAGAACTGGTTCTGTGTCGAGGACACAGCACAAAGACGGACATCTACAGCCTGGGAACCACAATCATACACATGCTGAGTGGCAGTCCTCCATGGGTTAGGAGATATCCCCGAACAGCCTACCCCTCATACCTTTACATTGTGAGTGTGCTTTGTCGATTTGATCATGGTGAATCCGAATGCCTGCTCTTTTAATTATATTATGTTTGTATTTATTTTACTGCACCAATACTAGGGAGAGTCCCTGAACGTAGCAAAACCTCACCATATGAAAAACCAAATATATGCATTAACCACAGAGCATAACCCAGAAATGCCAAGCAGGCTGATGTCATAACTTCATGACATTAAGCCTCTGTTAGCATTTAGCAAAGCATATATCATGCTAGTTTTATTTATTTAGTCTTTTTATTATTTTCTTTTATAATTTTTTTCAGCATTTAAACCACTGTAAAGGATACTAATTAGGTATTAATTTAATAATAATGATAATTCGGAATATAATTTAAGTATTTTCTTATTTTTTTATTATTATTATCTGTTAGTTTTCTGTTTCTATTTATTTATAATATATATGTATTATTTATTTATTTATTTTTATTATTAGCAAAGCAGAATCAGCAGATGCTAATTATTTAATTATAATAATTCTTTAAACATTTTATTTCCTGTCTTTTTTCTTTATTCGCTTTTATTTCCTTTTCTTCATTTGTGTTTCTGTTTTAACCACTATAAAGCAAAGGAGCACAAGATATAACATGTGATGGCAAGTTCTTCTTTCCATTGCAAACAATTTCTAAATAACTCTTTTATTTAAAAAAAATAACAATCTGCTGTTTATCAGCTGTTAAAGCTTCCTCTACGCTCTGCAGATTATTTTGAAATCGGCAGTTTTGCATATTTCACTTTAAGAGCTGCTCATAATGGAAGAAGACTAAAAGCTGGCAACCTTTGTATAGCAAGTCCAACTGCTTTCAGTTCCCTTTTCACATACTACACTTCCTTTTCATGTAACTGAATGTAAATTCATGCACAGTGTATTTTTGCTTGAGGCACCTGTGCCACCAATCATTTTCACCTAGAGTGGCTGGGTAAGATCCAGGCTGAATAGGAAATCACCCTCAAATGGTGTGTTATTACCACTACAGCCATTTGTAGTGGTGTCCGAAACCATGGTGGACGATTGAGTGCACTTATTCAATCCCAAATGCAATAACGAGTGTATTCCGAATTCACTCACTCGTTTTCATTCACTCCTTCAAGTGAAACAGTATTAGTGAATAACATAGGGAATAGTGTATGAGGGTTTAAACTGCATCTAACATCCAACTCTGACCATGTGTGGAAACCTTCACACACACACACACACACACACACACACACACACACACACACGCACACAC